GTGGGTCAAACTTGAAGTAAGAGATGCATCAATAAGCTGTGATGGATGTTCACATGTTTACACAGTTTGGGTAATAATTGGAAACCTTGTCTTTGTTTTCCTTTCTTTCTTTTTTTTTTTTTTTGCTTTGTACAGCAATGGTACACTGGCTCTATGAAGGCGGTGTGTGTTTGGCTGACTGACAGACTGGACCTGCAGCTCCACATGTACCAACTGAAAACACTCATCAAGATTGTGAAGGTAAACAAATGTTTACAGACACCACAACTTCTGTCAAAAAACAAACAAACTGATTTTCGTGTTGAGTTTTTTATTTTTTATTTTTTTTTCCAAAAGGGAACCATGCGTGTCATTCAGTAACAGGTTACTCTTATGCACCAGATTCAAAGTCTCCTATTCTGGACTGTTTGAAAAGAGCGGCAGTGACTGAGCCTAAGACTTTCCTACCGTGAAATAAATAAACCTCTTAAATTGTGGCTTATTCATTTTAAAACAGTCAGAACTGACAATGAAGAGGGAAAAAAAGAGAAAAAAACTAAAGATAAATCAAACCGTGATAAAGTGTCCTTGAAAGCAGCAGTTGGAATGGCCAGCTAGACACGAAAGAGACAACTGCTCAACTGTGTGATGCTGCTTCCTGTGGCTTTTGTCTTTTCATAGTTTGCTAATGTACAGAGTTAAACTTGAAAGCAAGGAGACAAGGAATGATAATAACTCCTGACTGAAGGTAAAAACCCCTCAGACGCCTCAGTCTGCCTTCTTGGTCCAACACATAAAAGAATCTACGCGTCCTTGAGCCTCAATCTTCCCGCTTTTGTCCTTTCGAGCGCTGAATGGCAGCCGCCTCCTCTTGCTCACTACATTCCTAAGATGCTCTCTGTTTTTACCTTCTCCTTTTACTCACTCCCCACCCTCCCACCTCAACAGAAAACCTACCGTGACTTCAGGCTGCAGGGTGTCCTGGATGGCACGCTGAACAATAAGAGCTACGAGACCATCTACAACAGGCTGACGGTGGAGGAAGCGACAGTGGCCGTTAAGGCAGGTGATGGCCTGCAGGGCATCAGCATGAGAGACAGTGATGAGGAAGAGGACTAAACACTCACATACACATATCACACCTCCTTTCACCCACCCTGTTACTACTTGATTGATCATCCTCTCTGCCAGATCAGGACCTTCCATCACAGGCAGTTATACGGTATTACAATTCACCGAGTTCCCACAAAACTTGATAGAACAGATACCCAACATATGTTATCATGGTGTTGCTGAGAATAAAAAGAAATCGATTGCTGCTGAACAAAACTGCCGTTGCATTTTTGACAAATAGACAAGATTGTTCAGAATTAAAAGATACTACAGAGACAGGCTATGTAGCAAAAACTTTTGGCTCGTCCACTGATATCCACGTCTCAGTCACAGGACTTTAGTCAATTTCCCTTCAGTCAGTTGTCTGAAATAATACAAACAGACATTACAACTTATCTTCTTTCTTGGTGCCTCCCATTAACAACTTTTCCATTAGTGGCAAACATGCCAAATCATTTTGTCAACAAGTAGTGTCTCTAGCAATCATGGTTTCTGGCAGCCAGCTGTGAGCAATCTTTGGCAATGTTGCCACAAATTTTGCAGCAAGTTGCATGTGGCTGTATGTGTTGTGTATGTGGCAGGTTTGCTTGAAGGTTTACCACGATTTAGTCAAAATTATTTTCAAATCATTTTTTAAAATGTATATTATCTCTAGTTTTATGACCATGTATATCGTGGCATTCTTGAGTGTTAAAGGATTCCTATAACTAACTAATTTTCTATAATGAAATAAGTTAAACCTGTGTGTCCTTTTTTATCACCAAAAAAAAACATAAAAACAATCAGACATTTTGGTTCTTTCATAGATTTATTTTCATAGTCAGGAAATATAACAGAATCTATTGGGCCAAAAATATACATACAGCAATTTTGGTGATGCAGAAAGCTTTGGTAATTTCAAAGCAGCTCCAGATCCCCAAATCATCTGTGCAAACAATTGTAAGCATAAAGTGACAAAGTTAAGAAGACACAAGGTGTTACCTGTTGCTGAAAGACCATTGGTTGGGATGGTCAAGATTCAGCCAAGAGTCACCAAAAAGCAGATTTGCAATGAATTAGAAGTTTCTGGAAGACGGGCGTCAGTGTCCACAGTTAAGTGTGTTTTGCATGGCAATGATCACCGAACCTACCGTTGAGCACGGTTGGGGTGCTATTCTGCTCTGGGGCTGTTTTGGTGCCACTAGAAAATGTGCTTTACACAAAGTGAATATAGTAATGAAGAAGGAGGATTACCTCTACATTTTCCAGGTAAACCTAAAATCATCAGCTAGAAGGTTGGCTCTTGGACGCAGTTGGATGTGACAATGACCTCAAACACATCAAAAATGGCCAAATCAGGCTAGAATTAGAGTTTCAGACTGGCTTCCCCCAAAAACCTGACGAAACCTCATCAAGAACCTCATCAAGAACCAACACATTTAGTTGAACTGCACCAATTCTGTTAAGAGCAGTGGTCAAAGATACAGCCAGAAGTTTGCCAGTTGATGGCTACCAAAAGCACCTACTTGAGGTTAATGGGGACATTTAACTAAATATTAACATTGGTGTATGTATATTTTTGACCCAGCAGATTCTGTCATATTTCAAAAAGAGCTAGAGAGTAATTATATTAAGACTGTCATGATATACACGTAAACCTAAATAGACAGACACACACACACACACACATATACAGACTGACAGACAAATAACAACACGTACTAACTGGGATAAGCCCAAGCCCACTCCAGTTTTCCACAGAGTTCACCAGAAGTCCACTGCAACTTGCCATACAACACATTTACATATAAAACTATGACCAGGTTTGCAATGACAGTGCCATAGGTTAACAACAGCTGTTTGCCTGAAACCAAAGGTTTTTGTTAGAGGACTGTAGTACGGTTACAATCATCAAAGTATAATGTTGAAGCAGTTGAAGTTGAAGTTGAAGCTTTCTTAGTTTACTATATAGGTAGCTCTGCCTTGAGATATAAGTAATCTGTGTAAGAACAGAAAACAGAAGAGCAGTTTGGCTGACCAGATCCTTTCCACAAGTTAATTGATACGCTTGGGTTACTTTTTTTGTTTTATTGTTTTTTTCACTCCCAACAAAGACAAAAAACAAAAAAGCATTGTGTCTATTTCTCAATACTTTCCAGCTTCAAGCAGATTTATGATCAGAAGTATGAATTTTGAAAAATAGTTTTTCTCTTTAAACTGATGTGGGAGCAGATTCTTTTTTTTTTTAAAGTATGTAAATGTACAGCAAGTAAAATCATGTCACATCTGAAGGTCTTGATCAGGTGAGGAGGTACACTCAGGTAGTGACACATCCCATCATACTCACTGTCCAGACACTGCTGTACTCACGTGTTAAAACACACACACACACAAGTCAGAATGTACGACAAACGGGAAGTCAAGGTAAGGCATCCGAACCAGATCTTCTGGATGGTGCTGAGATAAACCTCGTCCTCCTCTCTCACCTGCAGGACAGGAAACCCTGCCCTCCTTCACGTGCAGCCATACTCTGATTGATGTCACTTTGTACAGTTGAGCTCAGCGATTGCAGCTCCTTTTGTGTTCAGTTTTCACCCACGGCTGTAATGTTTAAGATGCTCTGAGCCTGCAGAGTCTGAGCGACCTCGCTGCCATTTCTTCAGTTTCTTGACAGCAACACAAGTAAAATCAAGACAATTAATATATATTTTCACTTGACAAAAAGCTTGGAATTGTAAAGTTACCCACTGCTGTATGTTTCTTTAGACTTTATGGGCCTGCTAGCATCTCCAAGATGCTGCAGAAGCTGTTAGAACCCATGGTGATTGTTCTCACCTGTAAAACAGCAGCTTTGGTCATTTGTTGATGACATTTTTCTTAAAGCCGACCCTGACAAATTGTGGTCATGAAAATAATGACAAAGCAGAAATAGTCTGATGTTGTTACAGCACCTCAGAACCTCATGCAGAGCAGGTTTTGGTGGATAATTGGAGAATGGCCACTAAGTTCTTGATTGCTTGAAACAAATGCTGACCAACTGTTCTGTCTTGGTTTCTGTTAATCCTGACCCCAATCGCTCTCCAACCATAACTAAGAAGCTTTAATGGGTAAAATTACATCAAACTTTAACCAATGTGGCAGATCAAAATGCACTCCTACGGGTTATTTTTGAACGTCATATTGTTGTTTAGGTTAGAGGACTTGGTGACAGACAGTATTACTAATACTATTTTAATACCATACTTCCAATCTTTACCTTGCTCTTGACTGAAAGTGATGCAAGAGTAAAGGTCAGGGGATCAGCCAAATATAAGAATTCAAGAGTTAGATGTAAAAATGTCCCGAGGAAAGACAAGAAATAATTAGGCTTCATTGTTTGGGGACCATGAATGTCTGCAGTAAATTTTATGAATGTCAGTTTTTAAAATAACTTGCTATGGACTGACATGTTAGACAGCTCAACTGCCTGACCAGTATCACCATGCTAGGGGGCCCATAAGTTGGATTTTATTCAAAAACACAACCACTTCTTGTAGTTCTCATGCAGAGTCTTCATCGACCTTGGAGTCCTGACATGCAGTTATGTTTGTAGGAGATAAATCCTTCTTTAGCTATCCACCCCTTTCTGTGAACACAATATGCATCAAGTGCCAAAGTTTCTGTTAGCATGTCTTTTTCAAACTTCTGCGAGTGTTTTATTTGCCAAAACGTGCCCAGACCTTTGTTTTATCAGCCGATTGGGTCTTTATAGTTGCTCATTGTTCATTAACACTATATTCTCCAGTTAAGTTTTGAGGTTTGAAATTATAGTGAAGTCAAAAAACAAGTGTAGTCAGATGATCAGACATGTGGGAATCAACAATTTATCTTGACTCTTTAACCTACTTCTAAAGAAGGCTGATTTCCTCTGCAGGAACTTGTGGAGCTTTTTTTTTGGATGGTCCAAACATTTTTAGCGTTGTGACTTCAAGAACTGCCATCAAGCCACTTCGGCAATGGCGGTTCATGTAAATGGGCTTGACGCTCTTTGCATAAACTTGGAGAAAACAACGTTAATTGGTAAAACTCAGAGAGGAAAAATAGCTTCTTCTTTTTTTTCCTGTCAGCTCGATGTCCTTGTCGAGCAGTAGTCTTCTCTCAAACATCACCATCTTCAACGTAATTGACCCACAAACTAACACAACAAACCTCTATTGCACCGCTTCCTTTGTGCTGACAGAAATGAAGTTGTATTAAAATTGTGGTTAAGGCTGTCCGATCCTACACAACAATGAAAAACTGAAAGGGCCATTTATAGGGCCATTTGTGTGTACGCTCAAACCAACTAGTATCTGCGCTAAGTTCCTGCAGTGAAAAGCCACCTGAAGTTCCCTGAAAGTGAGAAAATCTTTAGTTAGAATAGTTCCTCATTTCACAAGGTAGTTGGGGTTCATAATTTGTACCACTTCTCTTTCCAAATTAGTTTGACCTGGGTATGCGACTCGAACCCGTCTGATTATTTATATCTTAAGATTTTAGGCTTCCAGTACCATTGAGTGTTATTGTAACTTTATGGTCTAATGTATAGAAATTTGATTAGTTTTCGAAAGTTACCATACTGTAGCTGCAATGCACAGATGTAGTCATATATATTTCACATCACATTTAAGTCTCATAAGTGTTGCAGAATGTAATCCATTTGAATCAACCGTCAGAGTTTGACCTGGCAGTAGGGTTAAACTCTCAGATCAGAACATTTTAACAGACTGTATTTATTAGCTTCATGTTTGGACAAACTCATACAACTCCATACGAATGAAAAGCTGTTGCACTGCTGTAGCATCTGAATCCGAACCTTCTGCAACAGAAAACGTCTCCACGGCATCTTGAGATCGGTGGCTTCAGAAACAATGAATAATCCATTTCTATGTTGGTTGTCTACTGTAACATAAACAGGTTTCCAGGTTCTACACTACACACATAAAACCTGTGTCTGAACAGCAGCAAAACTCTGAGATTGGGGAATAATTGTTGGAAATGTGACTACATGTTGATGCAGTTGTACATCTGCTGTCATCTCTGTTCATTGTGATATTTACTGTTGTAAAGAATATTAAGCTGTAGAGTGATATGGTCGTACTGCCTGTCGTGCATCATATCCTACATCGATCAAAGTCTTGCCAATGAACTGAAGGAGCCAGACAAGAGGAAGCGTGGATCTATTTTTAATCCGATTAATGTGCTTAACCTGATCGGCAGTGAGCAAAGCGAAGCGTCTCATCATTGCCGTGCATTCACTCATTAGTC